GGTCTCTCTCCCTCTTTTATAAGCCCCCTTTAGGTATTGGAAGGGAGAGGGGTATTTGCTGCAGGTTTCCAAGTGTAAAAACTTGAAAGAGCTTCGTATCTCACTGACCAGAAGACCGAGCAGCATTCCCCTAAATTCCTGGGCAAGAAAAGACCTAACCTTGTGAAGCAGCAAGAGCAAGTTTCATTTGTATGGAAGGATTCCAAATACACTGGGCATCTTCAGCAGTTTATTTCCTAGAGGGTTAGTAGCCTGCTTTGGTGCCTGCTCAGATATCGTTGTTGAAGTGAGAGCAGCCTGGTCTGCTGGATGGTGTCCCTGCCCGTGGCAGGAGGTGGAATGAGCTGAGCTTCAAGGTCCTTTCCAACCTGAACCCTTCTGGGATTCTGTGATGTGATGGTATGGCTGCCATGAACTTAAACGGGCTCTAATACTGGAAACCTGCGACAGTTAAATCTTCTGGAAGCAAGAAATAACAATTAAGAATTACTCTCTTGTTTATTATTAGGATGAGCTAGACTGGTCTCCCAGTGCTGCTGGGCAGACTGTGCAGAGTTGGCTGGTCATGCAGTCCTGGAGGATTCAGCAGCATTTGTTGCCCCTGTTAACACGTTCAAAGGAAATGTTTTGTTGTCCAGGATTTGTCTGTGACAGTTAGTTTGTGATCCTGGCTGAGTGGCTGCCCTTGGACTTATTTGAGGGAAGATTTTTTTTCTGATGAATGTGAGCTTTTCTTCTGTGCGCAGGATGCACGTGATTCCTAAAAAATTCCCAGCAGTGCTGGCTGCTGATCGTGGCTGTGAGAACTACAGACCTGAGTGGAAAATTAGGAATTTGCACTGTTAGTGACTCGGTGTGAGATCACCTGTTTCACAGTGTCAGAACGGCAGCAAGGTGACGGTGTGGGGTGGGCTAAAAATCAGGGAGGGGAAGAAAGGGGGAGGCTGGCAGAGGTTCACACCACGGCAGTGGGATGATCTTCCGAAAGAAATTAGAAACCATCAGAGCCACAGAATGGTTTGGGTTGGATGGGACCCCAAAGATCATCTAGTCCCAACCCCCATCCTTGGGAGCACCGTATTTCCTTTTCCTGAAGGCCGAGTCTTGACTCTCGCTGCCTTTTTAAAGGCCATTTTTAGGGCTGCCAGCATCTTCCACGCGGCATTAAGCCACTCCAGGAGGTCACACTTTTTAAAATGCTGCCAGTTTGCTGTTCAAGCCCCACAGAACAGGTGCACAGTTGTGGTCTGGGTTGGGAGCTCACGGGAAGGCGTCTCTGGAGCGGCCGGGGCTTTGTGTTCGCTGCGAGCTCAGGTGGGCTGGGCGTGTTGGTGCTCCCTCGACTGGAGTTGGGATGTTTGGGGTTTTTTTTTTTCCAGCTTGGCTCCAATCAATGCAGCGCTGGGGGCCCTTCATTAGCCGCTCCTGCTCCCGCGGAGCTGTTGGGATGCAGAGCCACCGGCAGCCCGTAGCTTGGGCGGGTGCCCCGGAGCTCAGCGGCGTTTCGAGCTGATTGACTCAGTTATAAGGCCCCAGCCTCCGACAGCAAACGCAATCAATAAATCTTTTGTTGGTAAATAATTGCTATCGAACGGGGGGTTTTAATATAAATTTATGAGTGGTGTTTTATCACAGCTTGAGGCTACGGCGAGCCACTGAGTGATGGATTTCAGATCGCACTTACATTCATTACATTAACTTTGTAAGTTATTTAAAGCTTGTACACTTAACATTGCTTTTGGCTTGCAATGACCTCCTGGGAGTAGAACGTAGCACACGCATTGCTAATAAAGAGCTGGTGGAAGGTCCGGGCAGCTCCTCTGTTTGCTTTGTGCTCCTCGAGCCAAACCCGGGCAGGGAGGTCCGTGCACTCCACTTGGGGCCTTTTTTTCCTCTGGCTCCTTGAAAACAGAAGCTGGAGGAGCCTGGTGGGAGAAGCCATTCATTCCTCTGTTAGGCAGACACAGAATTGCAATTTTGGAGGGAAGGTGGTAAAAAAAAAAAAAAAAAAGTGTGAAATTGTTCCCTGTTTGTGTGGAAATTGGAGGTGTTAAATCCTCGGTGCTGAGTCTGGAGGTCAGCTGCACCCAACCGCAGATGGAAGACTAAGAAATGAAAGGTTTCGTGCAAATTAGGGAAAATGATGTTATCAATTAATAATAATTTGAGGCAGAGATTATTTAGACCAAAAAAAAAAAAAAAAAAAGGGTGTTTGGAAGCAGAAGATGGTCTTGGTCTCTTACT